GTATATATATATATATATATATATCGGGTATTTTATACTCGTATAGCCCTTTTATCTTCGCAGGATAAGATCCAATTGTAAAAGTGTTCAGACAGTTGTAGTGTTGTTTAAAAATATCTATTTATAGATCTTACTTTCATTTTTACATAAAAATGAATTTTTAGTGCAAAAATAAGAAGTACAACCTCCAATGATTTTGATCTTGACAAATGTTATTCAGGACATTATTCTGAACAACATTCAAGAAGTTTTAGCCGTCGATCGGACACCTTGTGCAATGCTAATGCCTGCGGTAACTTACGAGCTCTATAACTCAAAAAGTACTCAATGAAAAATAATTTTATTATAGTGTTTTAAAAAGCTTTCGACATCGATTATTAGTTGCTAGAATAAAAAATTGGGTGTTCTATAAAAAAAATCGATCCTTGACCTGACCTTGGCAAAGCTACCTAAGGTCAAACTGATAAGATCAGTAAATAAATCTTTTTAAATCCTACAACTTTTGTCTGAACACTTTTATCGGTTGGATTTTATCCAGCAAGATAAAAGGGATGTAAGAAACTTGGTCTGAAACATCCGGTATATATATGTATATATAGGGTATCTCAGAAATAAGGTAGGAGTACTGTATACAGAGTGTCTCAGAAATAAGTTAGGAGCCGAATTGGGGGCGTAGAATGGGTCAAAAGGAACAAAAAAGTTTGATACCATTTTGAGATATTCGCTGTAATTTTCGAATTAAAAAAGGAAATGTATAAGCCAATGTGCGGTGAAACAGTGTCACGTGAATTCGTAGCATGGCCCATCGAGCCTCATTCTCGACGCCGTACCACTGCCGCCGCTATCGAGTGAGATTCGCGCGACGCGATGAGGCGCGTGTTCGCCGTTGCTAAGCACGTAATGTCTAACGATGGCATTTGCCACTTATAAACAACGTGCTTAGCGAACGCTAAGCTAAAAGACAACCGTATTTTTCTCTTGTTAATATCTATTAACGAGATA